TCTAACCACTGATCGTTTCTTGCAAGCTTTGCGGCGGTTCATAGCGCGGCGAGGAAGGCGCACTGATACCTACTCCAACAACGGAACTAATTTTGTTGGAGCCAAGAAATAAATTAAGGAAACGGTTATAAGGGAGTGCACTAATCAAGGGATAACCTGGCATTTTAACCCTCCAGTTGCACCTCACTTCGGCGGGTTATGGGTAGCCGCCGTTCGCTCTGCAAAACAACATCTCCTACGGGTGTTGGGAGGAAACCCAGCTTTATATGAGGATTTCGCTACACTATTAACTCAAGTTGAAGCTTGCCTCAATTCCCGTCCACTGACTCCCTTGTCCCACAGATCTCGAGCCACTAATACCGGCTCATTTTCTGACTGGCGGATCTCTGCAGGCACTGCCCGGTCCAGACTATAGCGCAGTAAAATTGAGAATTTGAGATCTCTTAGACAAATAAATTGTGAAAATTGTGTGACGCGGAATAATTTTCTATATTTTGAACATATAGAATGTAAGTTCACAGTCCTTGGCCAATTCAAATGCTCCTGCAACATAGAAAGCACCTCCCTTAGCTCAGGCGCAGCTACAAAGCAAGACCATGCTGGAGGTGGCTGGGTGGCCGGATGTCTGGACAAATACTAAAGCAACCTAATGAAGTAAAATAGTTAGAATATTGGATTAAGATTTTTTTCGAAACCTCATAAAATTGTTAAAAATCTATGACAATTTCGAGATCACAGGAAAAGGAAAAAAATGAATTTCATAATCTGGACCAATTTTTAAAATAACGGGTTTGAATATCTTCATCACTGAGTTGATAAATTAGTAATTCTGTCAACACCAATTGTGTTCTTTAATTGGGTCGTTTAACTTCGAAAAATATACCGATTTTTATATATCATCTGATAGAGCTTCGTTTTCTGAGCACATCGATATTTTTATCGATCCCGTAGACGTTCATCTCGATTTGACCATGCATGATTTAAATTTTTGATCGTTGACACTAAATCTATTCGTTGACAGCTCGCTCCCATGCAAAGTCCTATCAAGGGGCGCTAAGATGGTGATTTTTGCTAATGTAATCGTACGTATTTAAAATAGTTCCAGTGTACCAAAATTGATGAAATTTTGGATTAAGGTTCCATTTTTAATGCAGATAACGAATATGTATTAAATACCCCTAAACAACTCAATTATGAAAAATATATCGTTTACTCATTATCTGATAATCACTTCGCTTTTTGACACAAAACTAACAAATTGACAGCTCGCGCCCAAATAAAGTACCACCGAGGGTGAATTTTGCTAAAGTAATCGCACTTCATTAAAATAGTTCAAGTGCTTCAAAAACTGATAACATTTTGGATGTCGGTTCTATTTATATTGCAGATTACGAATATGCAATTATTTCAATACGTCTAAGGTTGTGTTCCATTTGGAGAATTTTCACATAAATTTTAAAGATGTTTAATTTTAAAATAACTCTCCCAGTCTACCAGACTTATTTGTGAAAGACAAGGAATTAATTTTGACCTCGAAAATCGGTCGATCAAAAACAGACAGATTTATTTGTGAAGGGTCAAATTTAATTGAATTTAAGTGAAATAAATAACCCAATTGAACAGCTAACGTTTGCGTCTGTTCGCAACTCTTGTCAGACTCTACACACGGATTTTCAATGAAGCTTTCCAAGACAAATTTGTTACCAAATCAAGCTGTGATTTGATGTGAGTTTTTAAAGTCAATTTTCAAAGTCTCGTTAGGAATTAATAATAATCGTGCTAGAATGCCAAATAGTACGACAGCTCGAGCTTATCTCAAAGCGGATCAATAGGGTTCAGGATTTATGTAAATATTCAATATGGAAATCATTGTGAGTGGTCACACGCGGAAACGAAATATATCAGTGAATGTCATGAGAACCAATTTTCGGACAGTTTTGTTTGAGCAAAATACGCTCTTTAAAGGAATTTCTTTTTCGTTATCCATAACTTCATTATAATGGGAAATACAATAGATGATGATGATGATGATGATGATGATGATTCCTTACCTTTGATCGGTGTGTTCAATTCATTCTGTGGACAATTGTAATACTTAGCTTTGATAACCTGCACTGGTTCCACCTCGAAGTGTAATGAAATTGCAGTTTAATTTTCTGGCAAGGATTGCTTAAGTTGAGATGGTATCTGATGTGCTCAAGATAACCATCAACGTTCTAATATAGGGGAAATGGATGTAATGTCGGCCTAAATGCCCTTAATTTGGGCCCATACATAAATTCAGCAATCGACTGAATTTTCAATAGCGACCAAAAATATCCATTAGTACCGTCCCACAGTGGGACGAAATCAAAAAAAGAAGGACATGGCTTTTTGCGACGAAACTATTGAGAGTAGCATTTTGATGTCTTCTAGAATATTTCTTTAATTTTTAAATACTTTGTTGCAGTGGTGACATTTTTTGCTCTACACTAAAATAATTGCATTTCATTTTACACTAAAATAAAAAAAATATAGCTTTGTTATGTCTTGTTGAAATTGATGAACATCTATAGAAACATTGTAGATAAAGACATTTTAAGGAACTTTGTCCAACACGTCAATTTTCCATCTCGCAAGTGGACGAAGTTATAGGTTGAAAATGGAGTACTAACGCTAGTACCCCTTTAAACACCATTTTTTACCATAACTTTTTAGTTTGAATTTTACATTTTTTTTTCAATGTTCTACAAAGTTGTAAGCGTCAATTGGTTCCCGAGATTCTATCCGCCAAACTATGAATATAGCGACCACAGCGGTAGTGTGAAAACGTCAAACGCAAGGGAATTGACTATGCGCGACACAGGTGGCGGTGCTACCAACTAAGATACTTTTTAATTGACCGATAAATGCTTGTTCAATGAACATTTTGCGAGTATTATGTCTGTTTGTCTGTGTAGCGACTATAACAAGAAGAGGTTGTAAAGTATGTGTTTGACACATGACACCTGCCAATTACGCATTTAGTGAGTCACAATTTTATGATCGGTGAATATTCACTCTTCGGTAAGTATTCAAGAACTTACCGATCATAAAATCACTCATTGTGACTCTCTCAATGCGTAATTGACAAATGTCATGTGTCAAACACATACTTAGCAACCTTTTCTTGTAACTCACAAGTACAAAACATCACATTTAACGTTTCGAAACTGAGACAATCGCCGACTGAAACGCATTATTAGTGCCTAGAAGCAGTTATCAAATGCATTTTAAATGCATCAAAGTTCATTTGACTTCCCTTGACATTTTAATATAGCACAATTTTTTACAGAAAAGTCCATGCCAACATTTCAAAGGGGCGTAATTGTATTAGTAAACAATGGCTTCAGCCGTCGATTTCTCGCCCACGCATGAAAATTAATGACACCAACAGGTAGAGGAATGTTTTCTCTACCAACTAGCATTGTTGATTTGGAGGAGTGAGCTTTTATATGCGAGAAATCGACGGCTAAAGTCATTGTTAACCAAATCAATTACGCCCCTTTGAAATGTTGGTACTGAAGTCTTTTAATTATCAATAATACCTATCTAAATATTGCTGATTGCATCTGAAGCTGAACTGCCTCAAAGATGCAAAAAATGTACACGTTTCCGTCAAATCATTTTGGTGTCTTCGGAGCACTTATTGCTTGAATAATAAGAAATAAGTGCACACCGAAGACACCACGACGATTAGACGGAAACTTGCACTTTTATAACACTTTTTAATAAGTAAACACACGCTTATTGGTCCAGTTTGGAGTGAAATGCGCAATATTCATTTCATTCAAAGTAGAAATACTCAGAGGGAGAGATGGGCGGAGAGAATGTTTTGAGCCAAATGAACTGTCAAAATCTGAGCCAATCGAACATTCTCATTAGAATTTTTCAGAGGATTTCTTATTCTTACTAGATTAAATTTGAGAGTATTGCAAACGAACAGAAATTCAATCACCTTTATGTTTCGTGTGCTTCACAAATTCAACTAGTTTTTGGAACCACAAACAATATTCTAACTCTATTGATTAATTGATCTTAGTTGGTCAATTAATGGCACCAAGAAATGTGCAAACTATTGCGATGCAATCAATTTTTAAAAACCAATAAATAAAGTCCTGTGAAATGCTAGCTTCTAGCAAGGGTTGCAAGCTAAGGCTGTAAACCGTTTGTTGAATTAAATTTTAAACAAAAGTAAAAAAAAATCGTCAAATTGTTCAGAGCCTAAATTAATTACAAATCCCTGCTGCCGAATTGTATTTTGTGTTCTCTACCCATCTTTCCCTCTGAATATTTCTAATTCAAAGTATCATTATTTAATATATTAGAGGGATTTTTCAAAACTGCTCGAAATTAGGGACTATGGTGCTTGAAATTGTGGTACTTAATTCTTTTTAGTCAACAGTACTGAGCCCATCAAGATGTTCAATTCATAAAAGTGCACATCCAAATGATGAAAAAAATTGAGAATTAAGCGAATTTGTAATGTCCCATTAACACGATGTTGAAAAGCTTATACGTCAGATTATGAGTAGATTAGAACCAGCTGATGTTTCTAGAGAAACTTTACTCAAAATTTGCACCGGGTGCCAGGTGTACCTCGATATAACGTAACTGTCACTTCTGACTTCCATCAACAATTTTTCACAAACGATAACTCAAGCAAGTAAAGTATTGAGACAATTCCCTGAGACCTATTGGTAATGTTGATTTGTATGATTGAATTGTTACTTGCGAGATATCGACGATGGAAGTCAAAAGTGACACTTACGAGATATACCTGTCCCGCTAAATCGCCACTAAGCTTACCGATCGTATTTTATGTCCATCAGAAATAATTCAAACCAGATCAACTCATAACGAATGCGAGGAAGTTGTATGCCCGCAACTTCAAAACAAGCCATGTGGCCACATAATTCTAAAGCCCCCCTTCCTGGAAACCAAACCCCACCCCCCGGGGTCATCGACAGTTCTCCACCTACCTTTTATCACAATGTCGGGCGGCTTTCCGGCTCGACCGTTTCCGTTCCCTTGCACCGGTCCCAGTCCCACGGTGGCCGACGCAGACGTCGGTATCCCGGATCCGTCCAACGCCGTCAGAGTGGTCTGATTTTGCAGCAGCTTCTCCGCCAGCAGCGTATTGGTGGCCAACTGGTGCAGCCGGTTATGCTGGTGGTGGTGTTGGTGCTGCTGCTGCTGTTGCTGCTGCTGCTGATGTTGTTGCTGTTGTTGTTGTTGGTGCTGTTGCTGTAGCAACCCTTGAGCCTGTACCAAGAACAGTTGCTCTTGCAGTTGGCTTTCTGCCGAACTGTTACCACCATTTTGCATGACAAGCATATTGGCTCCATTGGCAAGGTCGGACAGATCTCCGCCTCCGGCAGCGAGGGCATTGAGGTGAGAATTTGCAACCGCAACGGCCGCTGCCGACGTGAGCAATTGGCTGCAATTTTGCAAGAAAATCTGACCACTCGTTTCCTCGTCAAGTTGCAGGTCATTGTTGTTTTCCTCCTAAAATACGAAACAGAATTTCGGTCAGTTAAAGTTTCCAAATTAATAAAGATTTTCAACGCGATTGATAGTTACGACTTTAATCTCAGTTACGGGGAAGTCCTGAAAAAATTGCTCCAACTCGAAGGTATTCTCCGTCAGTTGCCGCAGCAGTTCGTCCGAATCGTTGCAGAGCGATTCTTCCAGGTTGTTCAGATCACAGCCATTGCCACCGGCATCCGATTGCTGGTTCATGCCGTTGTTGGCGTCCTGAAAAATCTTCCGAAAAGTCAGTTAAAAGTGCATGCAAAGATAACCTCCGACGATCACCTGTAGGCAAGCCTGTAGATCAACCATCCGTCCATCGTTGTCCGGACACCACAGCATGTCCTCATCGATAAATGGCATCGCCAGGATGGCCGAGCCGCCTCGTAAACTTGCTAACGCCAGCGTAAAATCCTTTACCGCTGGACCACAAGCTACTGGTTCGACCGGTTCGGTAAACCCTATTCTGTTATACACTCGAAGGTGTCAGTCTTGGCTATGCTATAAAATCACTTTGCGAGCACGGCGCGAGTTCAATATTGCTATAAAAATGTATAACACTGTTGGTTCGAGGTGGTTAAAATCTTCACTACTCGGTTATAGCACGTTGCTTCTTATGCCATAAAATAGAGATCCCGACGGGAACGGTGTAGTAAAATATGAACTTTGTTTTGAACACATCGATTTTGCACACGCGATTTCGGTTTTTTTTTCAATCCGAAGGCACTGTTGGTTAAATTTTGATTTCTGTATGCCGAAACGAAATTTTTGCTTTTCAGTTGAAGAGGACGGTTACACTTATCTTTTCTAACCCATTGGTAATTTTGCGTGGTAGCCTTAAATATCACAGATTTTGGTTTCGCGCATAAAATCAAGCAATGGAGCAATCACATTCCTTCTGTTCCGTGTTTGCAGATTATGTATGTTTTTCTTTCTTCTTTTCTTCAGTGGCAGTTGGTTGGCTTGTGGGCAAAATTTCGCCTCTTAGTCCGATGGTTTCCGGTGATGGATAATCGCGTTGACGAACGGACGTCGGTCTGGTTGGTGATTCGTAGGCGTAGTTGAATCGTCGGTGGACTTGCGATGATCATTTTTCCATGTACGGAAACGGAGAAATTGGACGAAGTTTGAAGGTTTGCTTGTGACTTGCTTGTTTGCTTCTTTTAGTTTAGCGAGAATGACCTTTTCAGTGGCACTGTTGTGGTTGGTTGTTGGCTTTATTGTGTTGTTGCTGGTTTGCTAGGAAGACATTGGCGAGGAATTTTGTTGCTAGCGAGCCTGTGAGCTCTGGTAACTAGTTAGCAGGTTGGCAAGGAAATCTAGAAAAGAGAAAATATCGGTATTAGGTATTTGTTAGACATTAAATTTTGGAATAAATAAGTATCAATTTTCGACTTATCAGTGTCAAGATTTCAAAGAGGCGTAATTGCTTTTGTAAACAATGGATTTAGCCACCGATTTATCGCAACTAAAAAATCACCCTTACAAATTAACAATGCTAGCTTGTAGAGCATTCTTCTACCTGTTGGTCCCTTTGTTTACAGATGCAATTACGCCCCTTTGAGATGGTGGTATAAACGGTCCACTCTGAATATTAATTCTTAAAATGACTACTAATCGAGTCGTTTGATAGTATCTATTTAGCTACTAAGCTCTTACTAAAAGCTTATACAGTCAAGCACTGCAAGTTGCAAGCAGCGTGTAATTTAATGATGTTATAATAACTATCTTAAAACGGTAGCAATTAAGTGACACGAACCCTTGATGCTAAGCGTTCCGGCTACTGTTGCTGCCACTGCTGAGCAAAGATTGTACGGCTGTCGCCAACTGAATATAAGTCTCATATCCTATCATTTAAAAGTGATTGATTATCCATAATGATTGATTCAAATGGCCTTTCTCTGGGTACCATTAAAGCGAAGACAACATATCAAGAAGACTGGCAACTCACAAATTTTCTCATACGAACGCTATGAGAGGTACAATCGCATCATCTGCCGCTCAAAGGTAAATGCTTCGAACGAATTTGATAGCAAAGATTACATCCTCAGAAGAAAGGTTTGTGTATTTGCTCATTTTTCTATGCGTTGCTTCCTCCTTCACTCAAGCTCAGCGCTACTGTATCTGTCGCTTGGATTCTGGTAAAGTTGCCAGTCTTCTTGATATGATGTCTTTGATTAAAGTGTGATTGGGATTCAAGATTTTTCTGATTACTGATAAGTTGTCATCACACGCAGTGCTTCGAAGGCCAACTGGCGCTGGACTCCTAGATGAACTAATACAATTATAAATAGTATATCCACCCTTCAATTCAATTAGATCCATTATTGCCCTTCTTGAAGTTTTACATAGGAAGAGGAGGGGCATAGTGAACAGGTGGGGCATAGTGAGCATCCCGCAGTTTGGCTCTGGATCTCCAGCTGCATGATATAAATCAACTGGTAGTAGCTTCAGTATCATTATGATATTGATCATACTACCAACCAATTTGTTCCGAACGGCCGGAAGTCCAAGCTGGTGCACGGGATGCTCACTATGCCCCACCTGTTCACTATGCCCCTCTTACCCCTATCTACTTACCAAGACACAATGGTAACGACCTCCACGAGGTTGTTTGAAACTTGTATGTTTTGTACATCACCCTTTGCTCAGACAGCGTTAATTGGATTTTCTTTAGTAGTTGATTTTTGACTGTTCACCAGTTGTTTTCGGTTTTCCTGCTATCCTTTTTGAATTTTGAAATGAGGTAACCTATAAACGTGTAACCGATGTTCAGTTATGGTAAACAATCTTTTTTGCCTGTTGCTTTGTGAGGTGTATCAAATTTCACCACACAAGGTGCTGTCGAACTTATTGAGGAATCTCTTAAAAATTGTCCTTGTGACTTGTGGACAGTCCGTAATTATGAGTTATCTGTTGAACATCACGAAAGTTTTGATCTCTGTCTAAGTTATTTTAGGAATATGATGGGGAAAGTCTCTATTCTAACTGCTTAAGTAATTTTGTGAGGATCTCTTTTATTATTAAGACTAAGAGATGAACTAACCTTAGGCTAAAAATCTCTCTAATAAAGAAAAGAAAAAAAGAAGATTTATTATTAAGAAGAGAGAATGTAAGCTCATTGCCAATTTAGCAGTAGATCTGTTTCATCGCAGTGTTCTTTTATTTTTATTTTTAAATTAAATCCATTTATTTTTAGCATTAATCAGAGTAAAACAAAACCACAGACCGCTGTCAGGTCCAGCAAAAATTGTTCGGAGGCTTCAAGTGCATAATCCGGGTGATCCTGGACGCTTTCGGTCGGGCTTCCAGCCGTAGATTTCAGACGTTCCTGACGGGAACTTGAGTATTTTCGATTCATCTGCCTGAATTGAATTCCAGATTTGCCTGAATTAGATTGAACTCGATCCAGATTGAGATTCCAGACGTCCCTTATGATGATTCCAGACATTCACGATGGAGGTTCCAAACTTTTTCAACGGGAAATCCAAACGTTTCCGCTGAGAATTGGATCGGATCGGATCGGATTTCCTGACGTTTTTTAATGAGAATTGAAACGTTCCTGATGAAGACCCCATAATTTCTTTAAGTTGATTCTGGACGTTCCAGACGAAGATTCGAAATAGTCCCGACTTGAGTTCAGGCTTTTTCGACTTAGATTCAAAATGTTCCAGACGGAGATTCCAGAATCTCAAAAACTATTGACATGGTGTAAATAATTGATTTTATATAGTGAAAAAATCAGTGGCGTTTTGGCACTTTTGACCTGTTCAACAAGTTTGAAAACGTTATTTAGGGTCATGTTTACATTCACATCTGTTTCAAAAGGCATAGGGTTTTCTAGTTTCACTGATTTGTATCCATTGGAACAGATATTGTTTTGTTTGTTTACGTTTTGAGAGTTGTTGAACAGGCAGATTGAGGTTAGGGTGACGCCACTGGAAAAAATACACATTGAAAAATAAATTGACCGTATTTTTTAATTCATTAAATAACTTTCTACCTACTTGTATTCTTTAATTGCTTCTAGCAAAAATAGATGTTAATTCAGCTGGACTGAGTCAATTAGAGACTTTTATAATTATTTGAGATGAAAAAAAAAAAAATACTACCAGATTTCGTAGAAGACCATCTTTTTATGGATTTTTGAAAGTCTATATTTTGAAATGTAAAATATGAGTTTTAACCACCATTTTGAATATAAATGCTCATGGTGATCGTGTTTCTAAATTCAGCCATTTTCAAGATATCGTGGACTCCCGGTAATCTGACCTTCACGCTATTTCAAACCTACCCAAATTTGGGTATAATCCACACAGATCGGTCAAAGCTGAACCTACGCAAAAATGAGTAAACCATGTTGGGAGTGACAAATTGACAAATGAACATCGCCATGAATCCGATCGACTTTCTTCATTTGTCAACTTATCACTCCCAACATATAGCGAATTCGTTTATTGTTCAGTTCCAACCTGGATCGGGTATCAAGATTGGGTCTGCTTGTTTTCTAACAAACGTCAGTTTGCTCGTTTGTTTTCAAAACCTAGCTCAGGTTGAGGTTCACACTGACAAAAAGTTCGGTTTCGCCCCGATTATAAACATGTTAAAATGTTAACCCCGATAATAAACGAATTCGCTAATAGTTTACCCATTTTTTGTGTAGGTTCAGTTTTGACCAATCTGAGTGGATTCTATCATTTCATCACTAAAAAATGGTCAAACGTAATTCAGATCATGGAATGGAGTAAAGCGAAATTGAACATTGTGAAGCGGAACGCAATATCAAAACAAAACCGAGAACAAATCAACAGATAAGGCTACCAGAAACACGCTTTTCTAATGTTCATAGGGTTTCTAGACGTTCGAATTAAAATTAAACCCCGGTAATATGAATGAAGTGTCGTTCAGATTAGCGAGGGTCCACGGTATATTTTTATATTGAAGTGATAATCGAGATAGTGAGGTTATCGAACTACGGAACTAAAGCTTGGAAATGTGTACGATGAAAGAGTTGATAGGCTTAATTTCCATAGAGTCAGGGAGAGATTGAGTAATGGAGAGTTAACTGTTGTTAATAGTTGTGCTGTACACCGTAGACAGTATCACTTTTTCAGCTGCCATGTTTTTTGATGCCATTGCCATTTACTGTCGTGCCGGGCTATTTTTGATTCAGGGGATTACTTAGGACACATTCGAATTGTTGAACCAATTATTAGATTTGATCAATTATTCCGTTAGGTAATTTTGACGTTTCAAGCTAAACAGATATTTTGGATGCATTTTAATAACATTATTGGTGATTTTAAAATTTGACCACACCTCGCTATGATCTCAAAATTTAGCAGAAGACACCTCCTTATGGCTATCCAATTTTCCAAAAATAATCCTCAAAAATTACTTTTCCGTTTTCTTTTCAGCTGCGTACCAGGCTTAATAGCGAACATATGGAGATTGGATTATTTTCACAAAAAATATCTATTTTGGAAGCAAATACAAAAAAAAATGGTAGGGCTGTCCAGTAAAGCATTAAACCAGCACCTGCTTCATTTTTTTTTGAAAAGATCCTTATTTCGTTAAAATCAGCATTTTTCGGTTTCCGACTTACAAATTAAATCTTCGTTACTTTTATAATAAATTTTAACCTTGTAACCTAGCAGCAAATTTTTTATCAATTTTATGCGCATTTTGCACCAAAGTAGACTCCTGCGCTGAAAATAATCCCTTCTTCTTCTTCTTCTTCTTCTTCTTCTTCGCATTTCAAGCTTATTGCATATCGCATATTAGCTTATTGCGTGCTCTCAACTTAGTGTTCTAGATGCACTTCCACAGTTATTAATTGAGAGCTTTCGATGCCTGTACCATTTTTGCATTGGTATAATTGTGTGGCAAGTACAATCATACTTCTATGCCCAGGGAAGTCGAGAGATTTTCCAACCCGAAAAATTCCTAGACCGGACCGGGAATCGAACCCAGCCACCTCCAGCATGGTCTTGCTTTGTAGCTGCGCCTTTACCGACTGAGCTAAGGGAAAATAATCCCTCATCCCTTTTTTGCTCTCAGGCCAAAACAATTATAAAATTTTAAATTTTAAAATCTACCGTGGACCCCCGGTGCTTTAATCGTATTTAATCTGAACTTTTTTTTTTAAATTGAACCCTAGTAATCGGCACGCCGTGCAAATTAACACGATGCGAAATGGAATGGAGATCAAAAATAAAATAAAATAAATTAAAAATGAACCCTGTTAACATAAACGAAGTTCAGATAAACGAGGGTTCACGGTATCACAACTAGCATATCAATATGATATTCTATTGTAAAATGTTACATTACGGTATGGTATGGTATGAGTGTGATCAATTTTTATTTTTATTTTCAGTGCAGGAGTCAACTTTGGTGCACAAAGCGCAATAACTCCCCAAAACGGAAGAATATCCTCCTAAAAATAAACTTCTAAAGTCCCTAACCAAGCAAAATTAATAAAACCAAAGAACTCAGAATGCGGCCCTGCCACTGCTACGAGCTGCGCCAACGATAGCGCTTCTAGTTGTGAGTCAGCGCAACTAAAGTCCACCAGCCACACAAGAAACACAGTGGAAAGTGGACCACAGAACTGTCAAACACTACTGCCTCCTTATTTGTTTACATTCCATCGCAGAGCTTCAGTGCGAGTAGATTGTTTTTTTTTTTATATCCATCCGCAATAAATCTCAAATCCTTGACCGTTCGGTGCAGCCATGAGTGAAAGCGACGACGAAAGCAAGCATTCGACCAGCTCCGAGGGCAGCTCCACCGATCTGGACCCCACCAGCGACCGGTACAAGCCGCTTCGAGTGCTGTACTCACGCAAACCGCAGATCCCCATTCCGAGGGCAAGGCTGCACGACAACGTCAGTAAATTCGAGACCCAGTTCCGGCAGTTGGGAGGATTCGATCAGAAGTACAACGAGGCACGGTTAGAGGAATTGCGTCAGACGACAGCCAAGGGAAAGGGGCAAAAATTTGCGAGCGGATCGGAGCTTCCGGTGAGGAGATTCGAACCACATCAAGGTGAGCAAAGCAACTGTCGATTTGAAAAATTCTAATGCGGATGGCAATTTTTAGAGATGATCAAAGCGGAAAAGCCGGCCAGATTCAAAAAGAACATATTTTTGAAGTTGGAAAATATGGAAGGACCGCTGGCCAGTCTGCTGACCTGGATGTGCGAACGGGTCCGGGTACGGGTTTACACCAGAAAGGAAAAGGGAGTCCGGGGATATGTCACCGGGTACGTGGAAGTATTCGATAAGCACTGGAACATGGCCTTGTCGGATGTGTACGAGTCGTGGAAGCGAAGAAAGTATCGGTATTCGGAGAACAAGCTTAGTACCCTGGGGGAAGCGCAGGATTGTAGCGAGCTGTTGCGGAAGATGGGGATTGACGTTCCGGAGGTTAGCGTTAAGTCGGTTGATAGGAAGTATGTGATGTGCAGTCGGAAGGTGCCGAAGTTAATGATCAGGGGAGAACAGGTGGTGCTGGTTACGCCGGATACGGGGGTGGAAGTGGAAAAGGAATAAAGATTTGTTGGTTGAAAAAAGAATTTTACTCTCAATTTCGATCACTGAAGACTTCAACAACGCTCGTTTTATTGCAATCTGGAGTGGTAAATGAACGCGAAGGAGTAACGATGAAGAAAATTGCATTTGAAACTGCTACTTTTACGAGCTGTTCATTGCACCGACCGACCGACCGACCGACGACGTCGAAAGGATGGATCAAAACAAAATGGGAAATTGAACCCGAAAGTACGTTCCATGATTGCTCACACAGGGTAGATAGATAGATGTACCTAGGTACATTCTTGTAATGGTAACAAAAAGGAACAGAACAGCTTGTGGATGGGGATTCAGGAGCTAATGACCACGAGCACCAACGTCATGTAATCCGATGCTTTTGAGAGCACTCATGTTCAAGTGGGTGCAGAGCATTGACCACGAAAAACCGATTGAAAAGTGGTTAAGGGAATCAAAATGGAATAGGTGCGATATGACATTATCCTGAGCAAACATCGTAATGGAAAATGGCATGATGCAAAATTGATGCGCACACACACATTGTAACCATTTTATGTAACACGTGGGGTCGAACAAATGGAGACGCGTGTTCGTTTGAAGATCGTTGAGTACTCGAGCCAAAATTTGGATGGTAAAATACATTTAGAAGGATGGGAAACATGCCGAGTAAAATGAATTTATTAAGCACTAGCTCATTTAAATCTCTGTAAGTCATTCCATTCCTTAATAAACAGTTGGAGGGCGGGAAGGAGCTGAAACCGTTCTCTAGCATACATACTTGTTGTATCCAATGGGTTTCTAATGAACCCAGAAATCAGTACAATAACAAAACTAGTTAGGGCTGTCCGAATCTCAGTCGTGGGGGTTTAGTTTGGCATGTATTTAATGATTTTATTAGTTTAGTTGAAGATGCTAATTTCAAATGAGAGGTACCTAAGTGACTTTGATCGATTATCTGCATCGACTTTCTTTTTTGATAGCTACAGCTTCATAAACAGATTTTGCGCTATTTCTACCACATAGTTTTATAAAGGAGGTTCTCATCTAGCAGCCAGAATGGCACACGAATCAAGGAATGTGTTTGCAGCTGAATTATTAACGGAAGAGAAAGCCGATGAAGAGAATCGATCAAATTCACTTACAGCCCTTTCCTTCTAACCTACGTCCTTAATAAAGCTAAATAATAATAATAATTTCCTTCTAACCCCCTCAAATAACTTTAGTCGAATCGGGTTGATCATCTCTCTTTACCAAACTCCCCTCATGTCGCCCCGTAACGTGGGTAGATCACCTTTTCGTGGTACGTTAAGGGATGTAAGATCTACCACCGATTCCTAGTATTGACTACTTCAAACTAGGGGAACAGGATTTTTCAGTAATCAAAGGAACACATCTTAGTCCTTGTTACTTTTTATGCCTTGTTGATAGTGATAAGTCCTCGGGTTGCCTGGACCGAGGATGATCTTGAAACAAGGAAAAAATGAGTTAGTTAGTCTTCATCTATGTGATTCCTAATCTTCTATTCGTTGTTCCCTAGTTTGAAGTGGTTAAGACTAGGGTTCTGATGCATGGTCACTATCGGTGTCATTCTTTAATTTTGTTGCTAAGGAATCCAATTTTGACTGACAAAGGGGCGAACTCCGAAGGGTATAAATAGCGGGACCTTTCATTTAGAATCGATTCCTTGCGATGAAGGCAAGAATGACAACTGTATCAAAACAGAAGACTTCATCATTTCTCAATAGTGATGAAGTAATACGACATGCACTAAACTAAGGACACGGGATTTACTACAATAGATCAAATTACTGGTCGCAGTAGTTTTATGTCCCGAACAGAGGAGAAAAAAATAATCTTCTAAGCCTTCTAAAAAACAGTTATTGCGAACAAAACTTTGGAACCCCTTTTGTCGTGACTCAAGACTCGCCTACGCAAATTAATACCATCTTTGGGTTGTGGAAAGTTTCCTCTATTCGATGATACTGGTATTTTGCGTTCGATTGGCGAGGAAAGAATGATCAAAGTTTTTTTTTTTATAAAAGTTGATAGTACCTTTTCAATTATTGGTCTACAATATATTGAATTTGTTCCGCTTTTTGATTAATCGAAATTCTATCCGCCAGAATTTAAATATTGCGACTAAAGTCATCAATACAGAGTCGCTCATCACTAACATTGTTGTATCCGATGGAATATTCCGAGTCAAATCACAACCACCTTGACAAAAGATGCCGAGAAACAGTACCGAGAGTTACCGTGCATGGTGTTGTCCGTCAAATGTTTCACAATTCAGGGGAAACATGTCAGAAGGGTATAACTCGAAACGTAAAGAATGACTTTGAACGTCGATTTCTCTTGAATGACCACACACCCACGGAATCTGACTACACCAGATCATAGAACAAACATTTCAGTGCCAACATTTCAAAGGGGCCTAATTGCATTTGTAAACAATGGCTTTAACCGTCGATTTCTCGCGATTAAAAGCTTACTCATGAAGAATAATGACACCAACAGGTAGAGGAATGTTTCCTCTACTAGCTAGCATTGGTAATTTGGAGGGGCGAGCTTTTAGTTACGAGAAATCCGCGGCTAAAGCCATTGTTTACAAAAGCAATTACGCCCCTTTGAAATGTTGGCACTGATTTCTCTGTCAGATGATTTAGTTAGTTTTAGTGGGTGTGTTGTCAGTCGTAAGAAACCGACGATCCAAGTCATTGTTTACGTTTCGATTTAGAGCCTTCTGACATGTTTCCCCTGAATTCTGAGTAAATTTTTTGCTCAATCGTGAGTTGATTCCGATAGCCTTGTTGATATTGAGCTGTCAACTGCTAAGTACTCAATTTACAGTGTACTAGTCTTTCGTGTCAGTGTCACTAGTGGCACTAGTGTCACCCACAAACCGACATGAATGATCTTACAAATTACAAAGAAATTTCTGCTGTGTTCGCGAAAAATATTTATTCTAGCCTCGAACACGCGTACAAAATTTATGATTTGGTTCGTGTCTAATCTATTTCGGACAAATTATTTTTATCTAGATAAAACATTTCTATGGTTTTGACAGATGGGATCGCTGCATATTAGAATCGGCCGTTATGGATTCTCGATCAAGAGTTAAGTTTAAGTTTCATGTCGGTTTGTCTGTGCTAGTGTCGCGGAAAATCGTGTCTTGGGGATAATTTGGGGAATATTTGTTAGTAGCTTATGCTGCTATCAAAGCATAATTTGTTCATGATCGGTTCAATTAATTCAACAGCTAATTTTGATCCGAATTTCATGTGGTATATATTTTTTAATAATCTTAAAAAAGTAGCATTGATCTGGAAAAGATTGAATTGATCAGTACCGATCGAGGAAAAATGATAAAAGTATTTTGAACAAATGTTCAAAATATAGTACTAAAACGTAAATTGCAGGCAAATTTTAAAACATCGTATATCTTAGTTGTTTGAATATGTATAGCTTTTATGTCTTCGACAACGTTTAATAAAATTACGTACGTTCTACAATTTTGTCGAAGACAGCAAACATCTATCTTGTGGAATAAAACTGTTTGAATCGCTGCGCCATCTTTGCGGCCAAAAATTAAACTATTTTATCCACCAAATTGGGTGTTTTAATTTTAAAAATCATCTGAAAGAGCTTCGTTTTCTGAGCACAGCGATATTTTTTTCGAACCCACACACTTTCATCTCGATTTTATAATCAAGATTTAAAGGAAAATAATAACTTCACTGTTTGACACTAGACTGACAAACTGACAGCTCGCTCCCATACAAAGTGATACCGAGGGGCGCTAATAAGGTGATTTTTGCAAATGCAATCGTACGTATTTAAAATAGTTCCAGTGTACCAAAATTGATGAAATTTTGGGTTTGGGTTCCATTTTTAATGCAGATTACAAATATGCATTTACCTCAATACCCTTAAAATACCCAATTGCAGTCCTAAGCGAGTAGGGCGACTATCTACGATGCAGGAAAGATTTTGTTTTGCTGTGGTTAGCTGCGCGCACGCTGAGTAGATAGAAAGAGATTGATGAAGATTCTGAAGATTTCCTGCAAAAAGATGATACACGATGCAAATAGATACGAGAAATGAAAGAAGATTTTTCGTAGATTGATTCACTAGTGGTGAGATTTTTCGAGCATCTAGAATTGCGATTTAGATGTGACGCCCCCCTCGGTCCTAAGACCGTTCGCAATAAAGATCTTTGACGTTTAATCGTCTTTCTCTATCACTGAACCAAAACATCATCCTTTGATCGAAAGATTTTTGCTTCACCCAAGCCCTATTACTATTATCAGATGAGTTTGAGATGATTGTAATTCAGTTCATCATCTGTTAAAACCACAACAACTTGGATGCTTATCATCCTAATCTAGGATGATTTTAGTTCAATGTTTGAAAGCATAGGTGGACGTAAATCAAATGAATATAATAAGTTAAATAAATGCTATTCTTATCTATATTGAGTGCTAGTTGTAGCAATATTTTCTGTTGAAAATAGATAATATTTAAGTAACAATGCATTATTTTTATATAATTATAAGTAAGATATGAAGGTCCCAACAGCTCCGAGAGCATCTTCCAACTGGATTAAGCATTGAATGTGATTCCTGAGTGCGATCAGCTTCGATTCAGTTGCGCCCTCCGATCCCGTCTGCAGTGTCTCTAGGAAACTGTCGATGACACCTTCCCGCGTCCGAACGGCATCATTGTAGAGCAGCTTTCGTTGCTACCGTTTCTGCATCTCCTGCTGGGAACGTTCCTCGGCCTCCAGTGTTTGGCGTCTCTCTTAAATTGAAACCATATTAATTAATTTAATATAAACCGAAGTATAAACTAATCTAAAACTTACCCATCGTTGAAGGTAACAGCCTACAGAAACTCAAAATTCAATTTGAAAAATTAAAGTTACGTGCTTTTCAACATGTCTGTCAGATACTTAGCTGTTGACTTTTTGCATTTTCAATCTCATTTTTCATACACCAACAGTTCATTAGGAAAATGAATGATTTTC